TGGAAGGTAGCACGAATCGGCAGCACGATATACTAGGTCAGAGGAGACGCTAAAGACGGAAGATAGATGCACCCAGACGAGGCCATAGCGGATAACAGTCGAAGCCCGCGTTCAGGGATCACCGCCGTCGCCATCTCGCTTATCGCACTGTATGAGGCCTATTTTAGCGCTTGACTATCTTAAGAAGAGCAAGGGCTAGTCAGTATAGCCTAAAGTTGTTAGCACCTATATGTAGATACTTAGCTTGAAAGGATGACTAGGAGTTCTCGAACACTCAAGGCGCAGTGCAGTTACGGTCTTTGAAGCATATCGACCCGCTGCCGTTGTTGTGGGGCAATGCCTGTTGACGTGCTGTGGCTCTTGGACCAGTTGAAGCCGACGAACGACGCCCGTGGCCAAGAGGCTGGCGAAGAACTGCTTCCGCTTCAGAGTTTGCCAGGACGATGATGGGAAGTTCACAAAGTGTTCAGCCTCCAAAAATATACTGACAAACAAGACGCGACTCTTCCTGTCATGCTGCAAGTCGTCGTATGCGTGTATGACCAAAGAAACCAAGGCCAGAGTGGTGAGGTGGTAGCAGACAAAGATCCATAATTATCTGTTTGGTGCCGGCGTTTTCGATGGGGTATATGGGCCATGATGCCAGATAATGCCAGGTGCTGTCGGACTCGACAGAAGCTCCCGAGTCTTTGCAAGGTGCATCGCAATTCTCTCTGCTGTTTCAACCAAGAGAAAAGCTTTCCATTTGACGCCATGGGGTTGCACTGGTCAAGTCTCCCGCCCGAATTTGCGCAAAAACTTGTTGTGAGAGCTAGTTGATGACGTTCCGAAAAATATATCAGGCTGGGTGGGTTTGCCGGTCTCGGTCGTCGGATGGCAATATCTGTCTTCTTTCATGCTCATGATTCGTAATCCGCACCTCCATTGCCTTTTCATAATGCGGCACCAACAGCCTCATTGAGCGCCGTGAAGCCTTCTTCCGGCGGCTGCAACCAATTCTTCGCATCATATTCGTGCCCACCTTCGATCATATGAAAAGTATATATCATCCTCCCCTTCAAACTCGTATTCTTCTCGCTCTTGTGCAGAATGTTTCCATGTATAAGCACCAGAGTCCCAGCCTTGACTTCTCCAAGCTGATACGTCTCCTCCTGCTCCTGCTTCCCCTGCTCCTTCTCGAGTCCCTCCGGCCATTGCGAACCCTCATTCTTCACAAACGTTGTGCCCGTATTGCTCTCGTTCCTGACAAAGCGATTCGTGATCGGCGCTCTGCGGTGTGATCCCGGCGCGAAGCTCAAACATCCATTCTCCACCGTGCAGTCCTCGAGCGCGTACCAAAAGCCCACAGCCGAAGGCGGATCGGTGTAGAGAAAGACGCTATCCTGATGTGGAGGCACGCGGCCACCGATCTCTGGTTGTTTGCAGATGATCATGCTCTGTAGGACTCTTGGATCTTTGAAGCCAAGATCTCGAGCTATATCGGCATTCTGTGCGTTGATGCTGGCCTTTTTGAACTTCGGATTCAAATGATGGAGATAATGTCCGATTTTGTTGATCGCTTTCTCTTTTGGCTTCAAGAGCTTCCCGTCGGCGGAGAAGGCGGCTTCTTCGAAGAAGTAGCGGATTTTGTCGCCGGATGTCAAGAAATAGTCGTCTCCAACGTGGGCACTGGATTCGCCGGTGCTAAAGCGGGTCATGGGATGGTTGGAGAGGTCGAAGTTCGAGAGCATCTTTTGGGTCTCCGACATGAGTTCTGCGACTTCAGATTGCGAAAGTGCGTCTGGGATGAGCAGGTAGCCGTTCTGGGCCCATTGCTGCTTCTGTTCGGGTGTGAGGCCCATGGGGGAGTCGCTCGTGGGCGGAGGAGAGATGCGGGAGGGAGGCATAGCGAATATGCTGCAACTGCAATGCGAGGGCAAGTAGTGAGAAGCGACCTAGCCTTAGTATGTCGTTGTATGAGAGACGCCTTACCACCCGGCGCAATAGCCGTGGATGATGATGTGTAGAGGTCGTCGGTATCATTGCTTGGCATGTGAAGGACGACTTCATGCCTTGACTCTTTCTCCGTCCCAGACCCATAATCGTCTATTCTATCATGGACCCCGACGCGCCTCTCCCAGAGCCTTCGCCTTCCATATTCCGCTGGGTATTGGGATTTCTGATCGTCGGAGCCTGCTGGGGTCTCACCACTCCTTTCATGAGAAGAGCAGCCATAACACGCGACACGCAGCCCAAGCCTTCGCGGCCACTGTTGGAAAGTCCGAACACGCCATGGTTGAAGAAGAAGATATGGGGCATTGCGTATGCTGTGTACGATCTGCTCAAGAATCCTGCCTACGCGCTTCCGTTGCTCTTGAATGTCACTGGCAGCGTGTGGTTTTTTATTCTGGTTGGTCAAGCCGGTAAGTGCAGTGCGAGTTCACGAATCATGGATGTCTGACTGATGTGGAAAATGGCAGAATTGAGTCTTACTGTACCAATTACGAACTCATTGGCGTTTCTATTTACAGTTCTGGGAGAATGGTGGGCAGAAGGAAAGGTCATCTCTCGTGGTATGTGGCTCTTGGCCATCATGTCTGGCATTGCACTAGCTAATACGCCTAGATACCTGGATTGGTATGGGTCTTGTGCTAGGCGGCATTGCTCTCTGTGTACATTCCAAAACCTCATCGTGAGCTATGTAAGCAGCGATCGATCGCAGCTGTCCCAATGTATCCTGCACCGGACTGCGCTGCATTGCGCTGGAATTTGCGACCTCATGCTGTCCTGTCATGCTGATTAGGTATGTCGTCGTAGTTCACGCCGTGTGACGAAATGATGGCATGTGCTGATCGATGTGATGGTAGGCTGGTTTCTGCACCTGCTCTGTACTGTGCTGGCACCTCGGGTGTTGTAATGCTATGCTGGAAAGGTGTGTCGCTGTGAACGCTGGTATCTCGGGTGTCGTAGTCAGAGCATGCTGATAAGGTGTGTCGCTATTATGTCGTAGTGTCTTGCTGTGATGGTGTGTCTGGTAATGCTGACTCATGGTGTAGCTGTATCTGCCGCCTCCTTGCCCTTCGAGATCTTGACGAGCTTTGGTCCGGCTTTGGCGTACTGTACCTCGCAGCCCTCGAAATGCGGTGGGGTGGTTTTCAGACCCACAGAGAATGACTCGAGATTGTATGCGACGATCTTGCGATTACCTGGCTCAAAGCGCTCGTACTTGGTGAAGATTGCTGGTGGCTCTGATTCGAGTGTTGGTGGGTAGCCGCGAACAACGTCGAAGAGGACCCAGTCTGTCGCATTGGTTAGCATTTGAAAACGTGGTGGCGAGAACAAGATGGAACTTACTGTCGCCCTTGAGCTGCACCTGCTGCCGACCGCGTGCGCCATCGTCCTTGCGGCTGCTGGTCTTGCGACGGTTTTGCTTCTTCTTGAAGTCTTCAAGGCGCTTGGCCTTCTCTTCTTTCGCGCGCGCGTGGCTGCCATGCGCGATCTGGCCGAGCGAGTCAACCGCGGGCTCCTTCTTGATGAGAGTCGCTTCGACTCTGTCGGCGTCTCCGAAAATGGCGGCGAAGTCATCGCGCAGCATGGCTGGTGTGGCCTCCATGAGCGAGTGAGGCGGATGGTAGTGTGGTGTCGAGGTGAAGAAGTCTCGCTCACGGCGCGGCTTCTTTGCTGTCTCTTTCTTGGCCGAAGCCACTGGTGTCCGAAGCACGGACCTAAAGACGTTGTTAGCACTTGTCTTTCACAAGAAGCTTCTGGCTACGAAGTCGGAAAGGTGATCTCCGAGATGTGAAGCACACAAGTTGCGATGGAGCTTACCTTGCTGCCGCCGTGTCGGCAAGGCGTGCTGGGCCGATCAGGCGGGCCGGACGATGAGGTTTTGGATTGCAACTTCAACTTTGGAGTCTTTGCAGCTGGTGTAGAGGCCTTTTCAGACGACGGCTTTGGCATTCCGAAATTGATTCGAGGTAGAGGAGAGGAATTTTGTTGAGCGCCTCTTGGCTTGAGGTGGAGGAGGGAATGAGGCCTCCTCGGCCTTTCTCTTCTTCACCTGCCTTTGCGGCGGTGGCGGCGGCGGCATTGCTTCTGCGGCCGCACGCGCCGCCAGACGTGCTGATGCTCTTGTCGCTGTCATTGTCTTCTTCTTCTTCTTGTGCAAGTTGGGTGAGCAGGAATGGTGGTGGCGTCCAGCGCGTGAGTGAAGACTGGTCTGAAGAGAGAGAAGATGAAGATATGGAAGATGCAGAACTAAATACTCTTACCTGCCGTCAGCACAATAGCCAGCAGGTCTCTATTGTTCTCTATTCACGATTATTGTAGTGCGGTCAGGTTGTCTTCGCCCAATTGTTCGTCCACTGCCACTATTGTGGTGCTGTTTCAGCGGAGCCCATCCGCGAGTGAAGTGAAAAAAAGTGCTAAATTTAGTATCGGCCGTTGTCGCTTGCAAATGCAGTGGTTCCTGAGAAGCACGGTGATACAAGAAGACAGACGGTGACCAAAATGCTCATTCTGTCGAGGAGTGTAGTGGTATTTTCACGCTCGTGGGACTTTTCGTTAGGTGCCATGTGTGGATGACATGAGGCAAACTCTTGATCGCTGGATGCAGGCGCGGAGCGGCCAGGTGCTTTGCGGTAGGTGCCGAATGCCCAAAGGATGAGTGCAGCGAGTCCCACAGCTGGAGCTTCATAGAAGCCATCGATCGAGTACCTTCGAACATGCCAGAAAACCACGCCAGCATGTATGATAGCAAGCCTAGCCTTGAACTGGTGCTGTATGGCCCATCTCTGGATGAGCTGCCGGTTCGCCTTGGCAGATTCTGTATGTGCAGATGCACTGATTACAGCTCGTGCCAACTCAACAGTCTGCTTGTAGGGCGTGAGCAGTACAATTCTGGCGAGGTGTAGATGTAGTACAGTGGGATGCTCGAGTCCGCTCGCTTGTCCAATCGTGGCATTGGCTTGCCAATGAAGGATGTCAAGCGCATCGCATGCTGAGTTTTGCCATTTGGTAAAGGTAGGGATGGATGGCAGCCAGATTGGAGCTTGTGTCAAGAGTTCAGAGCTTGATTGCCGATTCGCTGTTGGCGTCCATTGAGACAAAGGGTTTTCGTAGTATCGTTCGACCTCCCATAGCCGCTGGTAAAGACCATGAATGATGACGATTCGAGCAAATTCTCCTCTTTCTGGTGAGAGCTTCTTGTCTATATAGATAGCCCGAAGGCTTTCGTTCAAGCTTGGCTGCAGCGACGCGGGAGAGGAGATGGCCTGCCATTCTGCGGCAGAAACAGCGTCCCAGACTCTTTCAGGAGTAGGGATGGCTTCTCAAGGAAGGCATATGCCATCAAAGAGTCTATCATTCCATTGCTGAGCGAACAAGGCGCTTGTCTCCACAGAAAGCCGCACCTATCAGTTGCAGAAGCTCAGCTGAGTGGTGTGAGATGGAAAAGACAGCATCGTCTACTATGCTCTCCTTCATATACAAGAGACAGCGCCTTGCCATTTCATGCATAGATGCCGTGAACCTGGCGGAGTACAAGTCTTCAGCCAAATAATGGCTGCCGAGGGAAGCCATGGCCATGATTTCAATGCATTCGTGTGAGGTCCTAGCAAAGAGTGCTTTGTGGAACGTTGGAATGGTTGGGTCAAAGTGCTTGAAATAAAGAGCAAGGAGGCATTCAAGGATGTCCAGGCCAGGCATTGCGACATTGGCAAAAGCGGGCCACGGTGCTAGTGCGTTGATGCACAATTTTTGGTAGCATGATTGCGTTTCTTCACAGACACCAGCAGCAATTCTCACGCTCGATTTTGGCGGTGCTTGTGCTTGCGTGTAGATCGACAGGCGTTTCACACGCGGCAGCCTCGCGGGTTCGCCATCCACGTAGTATTGGCCTGGCGTATTAGGAATGATATCGTCGGTGCCTTGACTGGTGATGCTATCGGTGACTGCATTTGATTGTGCCGAGAACACAATTGCCGGGGAGTCAGTATATGCGTGAGATGGGATTTCAATCGGGGCGGGAGCAGGTGGTCCTACGCCGGGGCGTATAGCATAGGGTGAGATGTCGGGAGCTGCGGCGTTAGGGTTAGGGTTAGGGTTGGGTTAGAGACACTCTATAATAGCGACGGCGCAGCGTTATAGGTCGCTTTGTATCGCTAGAGCGTATCCTATACCGCTAGTCTAACGAGCCTCGAGCTAATCCTAGATAGACTAGAAGTCTAGTACTATTTATAGAGAGTCTATACTTAAAAGATCCTAGTAGATATAATACCTTTAGACTAAACTAGTATTCTATATATAATAAGTAACCTATTATCTAGCTAGTTTCTAACTATTTCTTCTAGGACTCGGATATTACTAAATAGATAGAAAGAGTACTATATTATCTTTTTAAGTATAACGCTATCCTAGAAGTTAATTATACTATCTAGGAACTAGTTAAGATAATTAGGTCTACTTAGTAGCTAGATAAATATTTATTATACTATAGTCGAGCTAGGAAAACGATTTACTAACTTATAAGATATATATAAGATATATAAATACAGCTACTACCTAACTAAGGCTATATAAGCTTATAGCGACTTCTACCGAAATAACTTATTATTAGCGCTAGTAGTTCGATATATTATAGATCTCCTATATAAGACCTTTAGTCTAGGCGAGCCTTAGCTATATAGCTATCCTAGCTATCCTAAGATCGAGCTTATATTACTTAGACTATATAACCGTACCGCGGATCTGAAGTATCTCGTACTTACGCGTTATTTTATTACTAAGCGAGGCAATTGCAAAGGCGTAGGTAATAAGAACTACTTCTTATAGAAAGCGCGGAAAAGCGGAGGCAGCTTCTTAAGGCGCCTAGTATTCTATCCTATAGACGCGCTAAAATGTCTATAGTACGTACGATATATCCTAATATCGTCTTCGAAGCTTACGTATCGTAGGCATTATTAAGCTCGCGTGCCTATCGTTAAGTAGCTTACTATCGAAGGACATTCCGTATAGGCTATATATCTACTTACGGCTATAGTAGAACTAGTTAGAATAGAGCCTTTATCTAGCTAGGATCTTAAGACAGCTTTATACTAGCTCTAGGCGAATATAACCGATCGAAAGGTGTGCGTTACTAGGCGGTATCGGCGTAATAGAGCAGTAGAAGGGCTTCGGATAGGACTTCTTTCTTCCTTAAAGAATAGATAAGGGCGGCTACTACTCTAAAACCTACGTATCTATAGGAGTAATAATACTTGCGCGGCGACTTATCTAAATTAACCTAGATACAAAATTTGCCGATATTATAGAGCTTTGCTTACACAATACGATACTAACGTCGATATCCTACGATAGCGAGGGTTTTACTTATAATAATTAGCTTGCCTCTAGTAACGAATCTCTTTCGAAACGCAGCGAGTGTTTTACTATTGTATGCTGCCCGCCGAATATATTAAGACTGCTTAGCTAGATTAGAGGCTATATGTAGTCGTGCAACATCGATTATTCGCGACTATCGGCAGTTATAGCTACGCACCTTTACATTTTAAGCACTTTGCGATTCTCCGTTAGCGGATAGGATGTTTAAATTATTTAGCGTAGGGACTAGCCGTAGAGAGGCGAGATAGACTTAGAAGTAGAAACGAAGTCTGCTATAGTTATACTTAAATTAAGGGTACCTTAATAGGCGACGACGTTCGAATTGCAACTACTATGTCCTTACGTAGTAAAGGAGAAGGGCTACCTAAAATTACTACCTAACTAGATTACTTAATATTAGGTCTTTAAGCTATCGATTCCTCTATTACTAAGATAGTTAGCTTCTTGCCTTTTTACAAACTAGAACAAAGTGTTATTAGTAAGAGGACCTGTCGTATACTATATTAAAGACGTAGACAACTAATAGGTTAAGGACCATTTTAGAAGCGTAATTATTAATCTAGGAAATAGCTTTAAGGAGCGCTAGATTGTTAATAACAAGACTAGGGATAAGTATATAGGCATTACATTGCAGCATAGTACGCGGAATCTGCTAGACCTTATATCTACGTCCTTGCCTATACTTAATATAGAGCAGCTAAAGGCAACTCTGCCGTATGCTACGCTAGTGTCCGCTTTATATTTTATACTATACTACTTTAGATCGAATCGAGGCAGTAGAGGGCATATAAGAGTAGGCCTTAAGTATGCATCTTAAGGGCTAGCCTTACTCCGTAACGCTATATTTCGAGACTTAAACAATTAAGATTTTTTATATTATCCGACTCTGCCTCTTTACTATGTTTTGCTAGAAGGTTAAGAATACTAAGACCTTAGTTTTTTAAGCCTTATAGAACGCGTCGATTAGCCTTCTCTATACCTATTATTATACCGCTTATTAACTAGCCTCTTTAATATATATTATTACGCCTTGTTACCTCTAGAAGTTGCTATTCTTATCGCTATATCGATAGCGACTAAGTTATAGCGTCTATATCTCGAATACTCGGCTATAGAGCGGGCGTCTCGATCGCGGAAAGCGGCTTCGAAGGACCTTCCTATATATAAGGAAGCGGTTAAGCGGCGCGAGTCGCCTACTAAGGGTAAGAAGAAGGCGGTCGAGAAGAAGGTAGTCGAGAAGAAGGCAATCGGTAGAAAGAAGGCAGTCGACGGAAAGAAGAAGATAGCGTAGTAGGAGAAGTTTAGTAATATACCGGCCTTCGAGGTAGCGGCTTAAAAGGACTTCTAGGTTAACGATAGCGCTACTACTATAGAAAAGGAAGAAGAAGAAGTTATAGCTAGCGAAGTTAAAGTTAGCGAGTTAATACGCTTAGCTAATACGGTGCTAGCGTAGGCGCGGCGCCTAGTTAATAGTTAGTAGATAAATAAGGAGGATATTTCTACGGTCTCTTATAACCCTCGTAAGGACCTATAGTATAAGCAAACCTAGCGCCTTCTTACTAGTAATAATAAGCTCGCTTTCGAGAACTATAACCGTACTAGCGCTAGCACTTAATACGCCGAAGACACGTACTATTAGGCTAACGAAGAAGCGTAGAAGAAGTAGCTCTACGTCGGCGACTATATATTAATCGTATCCGCCGCAAAGGTCGCGAAGGGTAACTAGTTTAAGTAGAGTTAGAAGAAGGGTAAGGTTCCCTTACTATCGCTCTTGCCTAACGGCTACTTCCGCTTAACCTATACTAATTTCTTTTATAGCGGAAGATTACAATAAGGCTCTCGACTACGCTATAGAATTAATAAATAATGCTAAAGACAAGATTAAGATTAATATCGAGTTTAAGACTACTACTAAAGATGCCGGAGCTAGAGCTATCCTTAAGGTTAGCAAATTAAAGCCGAATAATTAATAGAATATAGATAGTCTTGCCTTTATTACTAAAGAGCGTAAAGATAGCAACTATACTACCGAGATTCTTGCTAACTATATATATACCCTTCCTAGCTATAAGTACTATAACAACTACTACTATAGGCCTAAAGGATTGCTAGATATCGATCGGTACTATTACTAGCTCTATAGTAAGGCTATAAAGCTATAGTCTTATATATTAGGATATCGTTAGAAGTAAGGATATATAAGACGAGTATTAGGTTATATAGCAATATAATAGCCTCTATCCGTAATACTAGAATAATCTTAGGAAATCCGAGAGAGAGGGAAGCGTAGTGCCTCTTTTATCCCTACCGATAGGGGTAAGCGACGTAGCCTTTATAGGCTTAAGCGACGTAGCCCGCCGGAGGTCCGCCGTCGGACTCCGGTCCGTCGGGAAAAGCTCGGCTTATCGCGACCCCTACGGGAACAGACCGATTCTATTAGCCTACTACCGAGATCTTTATAGGCGCCTCCTCTCTAGGCTAGTGTCCTTAGTAGCCAAACCGCCTACCTACTCCGGTATACGTTATAATATCGGCTAGTATATAAGCTAGATACTATCGTAGCCTATAGGCAGCCCGCCTATAATATCTAGGGTCTCGATACCTAAGGCCGGG